ATACTGGGAACAGAAATATTGCTTTCACTCCAGCATGCACAGCAATATCTAACCTGTGTAATGTATTCAAAGTTTTCTTGCATAGGCGCCCTAATGTGTGCATTTACATCAGGGTTGCCAGCCATCATTAAATTTACTGACAGCTTGTAAAATCAGTGATTTTACAACTGTCAGTAAATGCCCATAAAGAAATTTTAACTCAGTAAAAATCAGTAATTTTTTTTAGGCAGGTTAGTGTTGGATCCGCAAGTGTAAGAAAGAACCCCTTTACAGCTTGATGCAGCACCAGCAGCCACTTATCCAGGCAGAGTTTGGAGCCAGTTAGGATTATTTTTAAATAGAAGCTGACTGAAGCCAGCGGACATATTTGCCAATCTGGCTTCCTCTAGTGCTGGCTGCAGGGTGATCTCAGCTGTGCTCCGCCTGCCACCATTCTGCATAGATAGGTAGCTGGAACCCAGTGCTTGTCTGGTGGCAACAGCTCCTGAAGCCTGTGCCCACGGCCCCATGTGCCCTGCAGCTAAACTACACTCTCCTCCTGAGTAACCTATCCTGCTCTTCTACAGCCGTAGTTCTCTATCAGGTACTGTCAAGGAGTAGAGCACTGTACTGGGGGATTTGGGGCAATTTGAAGGAAAAGGGGGCACCCCTGTACTCTGTGCACTGTATGCAGCGCACCCCTAAACCCTGCACTCTGTACACAGCGCATACCTGAGCCCTGCATTCTGTATGCAGCTTACCCCTGAACCTCGCATGCTGTGCAGAGTACCCCTGAAACCTTCGATCTGTTTTTTTTTGTTTGGCCCTTTATTATTGCCCTCTGTTAGTCTAGGTTCACACTAATGGTTCAAACGGAAATGCACAGCAGTCCATTTAACATGATTTCCTATGGGACAAGTTCACATCTCTGCATTTTCACCCGCTCCAATTTTTGGAAAGGGTCAGGGACTTTTTTAAATGCAAAACGTTGCGTTTTTGGTTCTATAAACTTCAACAGATATGCTGCAGAAAATCATGTAGTGCATTTTTGATGCGCTTTGATTCTTTTTTTGTGTTTTTGACGTGCTTTTGATGTGTTTTGCATTTTAATCTGCCCAGCAACAAGTTGAAAAAAAAAACAAATCACGGCAAAAACGCATGTGTAAAAATGCAATGCAGAAACAGATCAAACACAAACTGCATAGCTGTGAACCTAGCCTTACTGTTCTACAGATAACCCAAAATGTAGAATTTTTATAACTATCAGGACAAATAGAGAGGTTGACTTTCCCTAACGTTTGCACAGATGGCAATACCTGACAGGTGCTCTAAACCCTCTCCACTCTGTGGAGAAAGAAAAATAACATTTTGCCTTTAGTTACACTTTAATTTCTCAACAATGCTTATAGATGCAGAGATGAATGAGGGCTTGTTTTAAAGAGCTGTTACTGCTACTGTTTTTGTAACCGCTTCCCACCCGGCCATTGTATATAAATGGCTGGGTGGGACAAGTACTGTTCTGACTGAACATACTTGTACATCCTGTCAGAACTGGGGCCGTGCAGCAGAGCGATTCCTTGATGGCTATGTCCCTTTGGACACAGCACATCACAGATAGGGACATGGGCTCTCTAATTGGCCCTCCTGATCATGTGATGGCTCTGTCCAATTACGGCCATTACACAATGTCAACAGAGTCATGTGCCTCTGTTTCATCTCTCTTTCTGAGCTCAGTGAGGAGGAGGATCACTGCAGTCTGTCAGCGATCTGCGTGTAGCTGATGATGTTACTATGCAGTTACACACTGATCCCACAGAGTGTAGCCATCCCACATGAGTGCGCCAAGCACTATGTGTCCCTGTCTGTGTCCCATCAACATCTGTACCAGTGTCTCATCAACATCTGTCACAGTGTACCAGTGCATAAAACATCTGTCACAGTGTACCAGTGCTCCATGAACATCTATATAGCATCCTCTATTGCTTAGATAGGTAAACTTAGTTTGGCTCACAGAGTAGCTGAAGTCAGAATGTCTGTGGGGTTCAAGCTCAGATCAAGCCTCCATCACCTCCCTCTGGTTTTGGAGGTCCATGGAAACTTCTAGAAACTAGTGGGTGGGAGTGTAGGGGCAGGGATCTGAATATTCAGGAGGTTGACCAATCCTCAGGCAGGAGGCTTGGCAGTGCAGTAATGTGCACCCATAAATATTGAAAAGCCTAACCAGCAGTTTGTTGAGTGTGGTCCGGTGGAAGATGGAGTGCTGAGAATTGAGAAGCCTGGGAGGAGACCCTGGGGAAGGGAGGCTCTACCTCCAGGCTGCAGCTGAGGAAGGAAGGAGAGGAAGATGGAGAGAGGGATCTTCACTACCTTACAATCTTATTCAAGAGACACCCTGCCTAGCATGGGAAGACCAGCACAGCAGAAGGCCTGAACAGCTGTCTTATCCAAGGCAGTGGGATACAAGGAACAGTGTGAGTACCTCTGCACCCCCAGGGTCTACAAGGGAGACGGCTGCCAGATGCAATATCCAGCATGCTTTTATTAGGACAGTGGCACAAGCTAACCTACATCCCTTGCTCTGGGATACTTTACAAGGTAGCCAGGTGAGCTGACATTTTTTCTGGAAAGTATTGGGACTTTGTGAGTTTCACCCAGGGGACCTGGATCTCCTAAAAGAGGAACCTTTGAATTGATCTTTTAGAGACTGATGTTATTCCGGAAGGAGTACAGTCCAGGATGTTTTTTTGTACATAGTGAAGGAAGTTTGTCCTCAGATTGTTCAATCAAGTCAAGTTGGGCATCCCATATCTCCTTATCCCTATCCAAGTTGGTTCCCCCTTAATAAAACAACAAAAAATAAGTCCATTGACTGGTTACTGACCACGTGAGAAAGAAAATACATGTTGCCTGGCTGTGCAGGAATAGGGGGACCCCAAAATCCAGCTGTTTCTTAGGGGGTAGCTCTACATCTGCAATAGTGTTCCACTTCAACATGAACATCTGTCAGTGTCCTACTGCAACATCAACATCTGTCAGTGTCCCTAGTGGATCATCAACATCTGTTGTTGTCCTTAGTGGACCTTCAACATCTGTCACAGTGTACCACTGCACAAAAACATCTGTTACAGTGTACTAGTGTCCCATCAACATCTGTCACAGTGTACCAGTGCACAGAAACATCTGTCACATTGTACCAGTGCACATCAACAGTGCTCCATTGCAACATCTGTTGGTGTCCCATTGCAACATCAACATCTCTCTGTGTCTCTAGTGGACCATCAACATCTGTCAGTGTACCCGTGTCCCATCAACATCTGGCATGTTGTACCAGTGTGTTGTACCATCGACATCTGCAATAGAGTCCCATTCTAAAATCAAGATCTGTCAGAGTCCCTATTAGACCATCAACATCTGTCGGTGTCTGTATTGGACCATCAACATCTGTCAGTGTCCCTAATGGACCCTTAACATCTGTCGGTATCCCAGTGAACTATCGTTTGTAGTCAGGAAATTGGATGTGCAATTTATGCTCCTGTAATGCCTTGGATTTTGACCGTCTCTGTGTGGCTGTGAAAAAGTCTCACACATCGCCATACTCAGTAGGAGTAGCAGAATGTATTATAGGGTGTATTTCTTAGTATGTCCATGCTATGTGTTAGAAATCTTACAAATTGCCAACTTTGTGTAAAAAAAACAAACAAAAAAAAACAATTGACTTTTTCATTTTCTTTCCACATTTTTCAAAAACTTGTGGCAAAAAAAGACATGTTGCAAAGACTCAACAGAAAATACATTAGGGTGTTTTCTTTCCAAAATATGTTCATTTTTTTGTGAGTGTTTTTATTGCCCTGGTGCTCCAGGGCCTTCAGAAGTGTGATAAGTAGTCAGGAAATTAGAAGCGTAATTTATGCTCCTTGAAAGCCCAAACGTGCTTCTGGGATTTTTGGCTCCTCTTTGTGGCTAGGCTGCAAAAAAATCTCACACATGTGGTATCCCCTTACTTGGGAAAAGTAGCACAATGTGTTTTGGGGTGTAATTGCAAGTATGCCTATGCCGTGTGTGACAAATAAATTGTTAAAATGACAATTTTGTGGAAAAAAAACTAATTTTATTTAATTTCTTAATTTCCCAAAGAACCGTAGGAAAAAATTACAACTTAAAAAAACTCATGATGCCTATTACTAAGTACCTTGGACTGTCTACTTTCCAAAAAGGGGTCATTGGGGGGAATTTGTGCTGTCCTGGCATGTTAGGGCCTCAAAAATTAGATATGCACTCCGTAAATCAGGTGTGATCAATTTTCAGTGATATGCACCATAGCTTGTAGACTCTATAACTTTATTTTTACCAAAGAAATGCAGAAGCATACATTTTGGTCACAATTTATGAAGAAAAATTACTTATTTGCAAAATTGTATTACAAAAACTAAGAAAAACAAGTTTTTCTCACCAAATTTTGTTTATTTAGCAAAAATGAAAAACACATTGGTGATTAAATACCACCAACAAAAAGCTCTATTTGTGTGAGAAAAATGATAAAAATTTCATAAGGGTACAGTGTTGCCTGACTGAGAAATTATCATTCAAAATGTGAGAAAGGTGAAAATTGACCTGGGCAGGAAGGGGCTGAAAGTGTCCAGTATTGAGGTGGTTAATGTGCATAATCTGGATTTTTTTACATACTCAGGCTGGAAACCTTCTCCAAAGCTGGCTGTGCCATCACAGCAACTCCTCATTGACTTTAGTGAGGCCACACTTCTAGTGCCTCTAGTGTAGTGTATCGTCCCAATCATATCTAGGAAGAGTCACTATGTAGGACTGGCTAGCACTGAATGTTTCTGGCCCAAGAAATGAAACACTGCCACCATCAAAGAGAGATAAGTAATCTTCTGGCTGAAAATGTATATATACTGCTTCTATTTGCACCTGTATATGTGTCAAAAAGGAGACTGATCCTGCGCATAGTGTTTTATGTACTAATATTGTCCTCTCAATATGATATTTTGTGTTTATTCCAACAGGTGGCGCACTGGATTGTTACACTTGCCCATTTGGCACCTGCTTTGCCCCTACAAAAAAAACCTGCGAGCTACTTCAAGTGTGCAAGACAGAGACTGCAAGAACAGGTACGTAACTCTAGATTTAGCGATGACAAACACCTGTTATGTTCAAGCTAACACACTTCTGTGGTTTTGGGGGATTTCCCACATACTTCTTGTGGTGTCTACAGAAGAGAAAGGGAAAACTCTATAATAGGACACGGCAATAAAAAAAAAACCTGACAGCGATTTTACCAATTCCCTATTTAAAGTGGAACTGAGTATCTGAGAAACTAAAAAAAAAAAAAAGCCACTTTAAACAATAAAATATAATATAATAACTATAATATAATATACCTTCCTATCTGTTAACATAAGGCTTAAAAACATTTAATGTAAGTTATCTAAGCGTAAACCTACTTCCACTGCAACTCTAAGATCTATACTAACTATCCTGTAATGGAAAGATGTCTATACTTACCTAATCTAAGGGTGCTCTGGTATGGTCATGTGACCTCCCCAGCAGCCAGCTTCAGGGGAGAGGAGATGGCAGCGACAATGGTTGCAGTTCCCGGGCAGTTATGCCACCCGTAGACTTACTATGAGGCATCTGTTGTCCACTGTCCCCCTTCTCCACTGAAGAGATGACCGAGTGCCCTTAGATTAGGGAAATAAGCACATATTTCCTTTACAGGGTAATTAGTATAGGGCTTAGAATGGAGATGAGGGCAAGTTTTAGCTTGGATAATATTAGCCTGGACTTCTACTTTAATGCTGATTTAAAGATTTTAGTTCCACTCCAATCCAAAACAAACAAAAAAAAAGTTTTGGCTTTACATATACAATAACCCCCTTAACCTGTCGGGCGCCGTCCCAATAAATAGGCCATGACACCTGAGGCCAGTAGGAGTGGGCTCCCAATTGTGTGGCACTGTGATTGGCTGCACCGTGCTGACATCATCAGGAGCTGGTAGGATGGCTTCCGATGGTGTCAGTAGCTGACTGTGACGTGTCCTTGAAGGTTCAGTCATAGTTCTTGGGGTGTAGATGGAGCATGCCCCGGATCAAGACAGTGCCATATACAGGTGAAACTCGAAAAATTAGAATATCGTGCAAAAGTTCATTTATTTCAGTAATGCAACTTAAAAGGGGAATTAATATATGAGATAGACTCATTACATGCAAAGCAAGATAGTTCAAGCTGTGATTTGTCATAATTGTGATGATTATGACTTACAGCTCATGTAAACCCCAAATCCACAATCTCAGAAAATTAGAATATTGTGAAAAGGTGCAATATTCTAGGCTCAAACTGTCCTACTCTAATCAGCTAATTAAGCCATAACACCTGCAAAGGGTTCCTGAGCCTTTAAATGGTCTCTCAGTCTGGTTCAGTAAGAATCACAATCATGGGAAAGACTGCTGACCTGACAGTTGTGCAGAAAACCATCTTTGACACCCTCCATAAGGAGGGAAAGCCCCAAAAGGTAATTGCAAAAGATGTTGGATGTTCCCAAAGTGCTGTATCAAAGCACATTAATAGAAAATTATGTGGAAGGGAAAAGTGTGGAAGAAAAAAGGTGCACAAGCAGCAGGGATGACCGCAGCCTGGAGAGGATTGTCAGGAAAAGGCCATTGAAAAGTGTTGGGGACTTTCACAAGGAGTGGACTGAGGCTGGAGTCAGTGCATCAAGAGCCACCTCACACAGACGGATCCTGGACATGGGCTTCAAATGTCGTATTCCTCTTGTCAAGCCGCTCCTGAACATCAAAGTCAGAAGCGTCTTACCTGGGCTAAAGAAAAACAGACCTGGTCTGTTACTCAGTGGCCCAAAGTCCTCTTTTCTGATGAGAGCAACTTTTGCATCTCATTTGGAAACCAAGGACCCAGAGTATGGAAGAAGAATGGAGAGGCACACACTGCAAGATGCTTGAAGTCCTGTGTGAAGTTTCCACAGTCTGTGTTGATTTGGGGAGCCATGTCATCTGCTGGTGTTGGTCCATTGTGCTTCATTAAGTCCAGGGTCAACGCAGCCATCTACCAGGAGATTTTGGAGCATTTCATACTTCCTTCTGCAGACGAGCTTTATGGGGATGCTGATTTCATTTTCCAGCAGAACTTGGCACCTGCCCACACTGCCAAAAGCACCAAAACCTGGTTCAATGACCGTGGGATTACTTGCTTGATTGGCCAGCAAACTCGCCTGACCTGAGCCCCATAGAGAATCTATGGGGCACTGCCAAGTGAAAGATGAGAGACCTGAGACCGAACAATGCAGAAGAGCTGAAGGCTGCTATTGAAGCATCCTGGTCTTCCATAACACCTCAGCAGTGCCACAGGCTGATAGCTTCCATGCCACGCCGCATTGAGGCAGTAATTGCTGCAAAAGGGGCCCAAACCAAGTACTGAGTACATATGCATGCTTATACTTTTCAGAGGTCCGATATTGTTCTATTTACAATCCTTGTTTTATTGATTGCATGTAATATTCTCATTTTCTGAGATTGTTGATTTGGGGTTTTCATGAGCTGTAAGCCATAATCATCACAAGTATGATAAATCATGGTTTGAACTATCTTGCTTTGCATGTAATGAGTCTATCTCATATATTAGTTTCACCTTTTAAGTTGCATTACTGAAATAAATGAACTTTTGCACGATATTGTAATTTTTCGAGTTTCACCTGTAGATGCACAGGCTGGGTGTTAATGCCCACATGTCATTCTGAGATACGTATGCATATTGCTGTTGTAAATAAGTTAAAAAGAATTTCTCCCTTTTGCCCATTCATGGATGGGAAAAGCGACAATTTTTTTGATAACCCAACCCTCTTCCCCACTAATACTTGTCTTCATCTTGCTCCCCCATTGCTCCATTTTATGTTCTTTCCAGGGAGAATCACCCTCTCCATTTGTCTTGGTGACCTTTGTCAGTGGGATAATAAGTAATGGAAGATCAAATATTTTATGGTGGTCACCAAAACAGGAAGAGAGAGGAAATATTCCATTGAAGATACTTGTTTGGTTGCAGCCATCTAAAAGGGAATTTCCACTCATGTTAGAGATCGTTTATTTCCTATAGTATCTCCAAGGCAGGAAAAAAACATACAGAAAACAAAAAAGACTGATAGAGGTTTCAATCCTTTATTACATTATCTAAAACTAAAACAAAAATGTTGGCAATACATACACCTTAATGAGTTTATATGTACAATGACTTGCTTGCATTGTTTATCTCCTGTGTATTTTGATGCAGGTGACCTGTATTTAAAGAAGAAGTCCTGTTCAGCGCTCACACAGTGTGTTGGAGAGTCTGAAGAAACCTACATGAATACCATTAAAGTGAAAACCACGTCTGAGTGCTGCATCACTGACCTTTGCAATTCAGCTGTTACAACCTCGGCCTCCTTCGCAACTGCCATTGCTGTCCTTATGTCCATGTGGGTGGCCAGGCTCCTCTGAGCTCCCTCCACACCTACTCATCTCTTTTCACCTCAGATAAATCTGTCCCCAAGCTCTTTTTTAATATTTTTTTAAGATACTTATGTTAAAGTAACCATCTTGCAAGCCAAACTAAACAACACATACCTATTTTCAGGCATACAGTAATGTCACTTAAGCCCTGTGTCCAAAGCTGGATTGCCTAATAGGGGTTGATATAGTTCTTGTTGCTGCCCCATAATTACAATCTGTGTTGGCTCTGCCAAGAGTCCCAGGATTTTAAGAGGAAGCCATATTGTAATCTTAAACAATCATGGTTGAGTCATGTTTTTACCCCCCTTCCTCCCCTACGTATCCTTCCTTAAACTGAAAGGCAATGGATGGGGGATGTACACATGCTGCGGCCACGTCAAAAGGTATTTCCCCTCTCACGTTCGGTAGGCAGTACCACCACCAAATGTGATCTTTTCAAGCAAATGAGGCCACACTGCAACCTTCCCACAACTGCTTGCAATGTACTCGACTGAAGTCTGGTGTTGTAGTGGTGCATCATTTAAAAGTTTAAAACAGGTGGTAAGGCTTCAACATACCACCTCCTCACTGCCTGTCAAATGCCTCTGAAAAAGCGGCTTGCACATGGACCGCTTTTCAGAGGTGCTTCTTCAACAGCAGCATGTGTAAACCCAGTCATGGGGATTTTTTTGGAACCAATGCAGCCTTAGTGAAGTCTTTGTTTAATAAAGGTTCAGCCCTTTAGTGCATGTGACTAGTGCATTTTATAGCGTACCTGTCAATATCTTGCACAGAAGGCCTGACTCTAGCATCCATAGCTAAATAACAAAAATACATACATTTAATTTCATAGGTTTTCTTTTTTTAATTTTAGAATTTATCAATAAAAAAAATATTTTTAGGGTATTATCAGAGCCAAATATATTTTTTAAAAACTTGTAATGTTCCCGTACTATGTTTCTGCAGGATAGTCCTGTGTTTGGCCCAGAGGGCATGCTAAGAGCATTGATATTTTTTTTTCTATAGCAGTAAGATTTCTCCTCCCATATTTTTCCTGAGAATGATAGTAAATATGCCTAAACATGGCTTAAAGCAACACTAAACTCTGGTTTAAAAAGAAAAGTTCTATTCAAGTATGTATTCTTAACTTTAAAAACTATCTTCTATTGCTCTCAGCCTCCTCCAAATTCCTTTTTTTTTGTTTTGTTGCTGTGATCTGACTTCATGTTAGAGGGTGTCTACATTAATTCTACATGGTCCCACTGTTTGGAGGAATGTAGTCACCCTCTCTTGCTTGCTCCCGAGATGAACTAGGGACTATGGACTAATCTGATTGTAGTGTGCATAGAGCACAAATGGAAGTGAAGATCAAAAGGAGTGGTTCAGGTGCTAACAGAGAATAATACAAAGCGGCAGAAAAACACAGTAAGAATTGATTTAATAAAAAAACAGATCAGAGGGTCATAAAATAGTGGATGTGTATGGATTTTATTTTTGTGGAAAAACAGGAATAATTGTTTAGTGTCACTGTAAGCTAATCATACTGCTGAGATGTAGGCCTCTGTGGTGCCTGAATGCATCTCCGTTTATCCTCAGATCAATTCCTGTGTTCTGCAAAGTCCCTGGACTTAGACAGAAGCTTAGGCTTTTAAGCTTTGCATAAAGGCTTGGCCTGAAATCCAATGGACTTCACTGGGACACAGAAAATGATTTGAAGAACAGGTGCTCTTCAGCTGAACTATTTGTCTGGACAATGCTTAGGACCTGTCAAGTAATCAAGGAGAGATCCATTAATATTTGGTGTGCTGGTGCTTACAGGCTCCAGAATTAGACCGAAAGTGCACTCAGTAATCACCACAGTAGCAGACCTGGTCTGACATGCACCTTCTCTCCCTCTGCAATACAGAGATTATTGTGATAAGGGGTTTGGCTGTTACTCAGCTCTGCAAGTCCAAAACACTGCAGTGTGAGAGCAGAAACAACATTTTCACTGAGAAAAAAGGAAAATAAAAAGATAAGGTTTGAGACTTCAACCGGAAATCAATGCCCCTTGCACACGATGAGAAAATCAAACAAGAAATAACACTGATACACAGCTTTTGAGAGACATCACAACAGTTCATGCAAAATTATCCGAAGGGACAATTTTCTCGTACAATACCGGAACAAACAATTTTTGTTTAATCAATACAGTAGTTGTATAAAAAAAAATCATAAGACCAAAACTACGCATGCTTGGAAACAAAAGAATACATTACAATAAAATACATAACATCACTTCCAAAGTTGTATTCTGTCATACAAGAATTTTCGTAACTTTAGTAACTTCTTCATTTTTGATGTGAGACTAGCATGCAAAAATATTCTCATCATGTGTACGGGGTCTAAGTCTTTGTGGGTGTCTGTATCACAGCACAATGCATGATGCACTGGTATGTTTGCCTTCTGCATTTAGAAGGCTTCACTATGCAGCAGCAAGACCCTTTACAGCTTTAGCAACTTAGAAGCTAAAGGAAACATGCCCTGAGAAAATATGGAAGCTGCCATTGCTTATTCTTCTGAAAATTATAGTTTTCTGACATGTGTTGCTCTCATGTCCTTTCTAGCATTTTCAGATGTAGGTCAACAATGGCGACCTCATTACAGGTTGCCTTTATTTTGTAAATAGCCATTATCTCAGCTCATGCTTAAACATTTGCTAATTTAATAATCACACTTGGCAATGACTAACAAAATGAAAACTCAGTTGGTGAAATTTTAATGAGAACAGAGACTTTCACAGGAACTAATGGGAGTGATATGACTTTCATGGCATCACTGATGGTAGACTTCTGTATTCTGTTATTGGCATGTTTAAAGCAGAATTCCAGGGAAACAGCTACATGAGCAGATAAATACCTATATAGGGGCTGTGTTACCTACAAAATCCTGATAATTACACACAGCCACACAGCAAAGCCACGTCAAGCAGGAGAGGGGAACAAATGATTCTTTGCAGCAGTGTCACTTTTACTTACTGATGACCTCCTCCCTCATTACATCATCCTATACAGTTCTGCATAATGCTCCATCTCCTGCCATCTCATTGGAATGCTAATGATCAGCACTACTAAGGTTAGATCCACCCTTCTCTAAGTCCACATTCTACCCCCTTGCTTACAGAGCAGACCCCCCCCCCCCCCCACCACTGTACGTCTGCTTTCAGCTTTTCATTTTAAATACATAGATTTGACAGTTGCAATAGCTGCAATTGCAATAGCTGAATGAATTAAAAAAATATTGATATTTAAAGCAATGTATGTGTGATCTAAGGGTGTTTTTATATATTTATCTGGAGGACCTAAACAACTTTGTTGGTTGTATATATCAGAGTGTTTAAAGGAAGACTCTGGGGTTTAATAAAACTGGAGAGTGCAAAATCAGATGCATAGTAACCAATCAGCTTCTAGGTTTCATTGTCAAAGCTTCATTGAACTGAAGATAGAAGCGGATTGGCTACAATGCACAGCTTTTGAACTCTCCATTTTTAGTAAATCTCCCCCATTTCATATCCACGGTAGACAAATTTCCTTTTTATTCCCCCAGTTTGGAAATAAACTGAACATCTGGTTGGTTCCTTCAGACATACAGTATGTATAAGTAGCACCTACTCTGTTCTGCTAGTTATCACTGCTTTATATATTCCTCAGACGTATCCCATTCTACGTTATGGTTATTATGGCAGCCTCTGTTTTTAATCACACACTACCTGATTGTGTATTATGAATAAGCTCTCCTTGTTTGTTTATAATGTTTTGCTTTTTATTTTATCCTATGAAAAGAATAAAGACAATTCTATGTTCTAGTTACCTGATTTTTTTTTAGCAGTCAAACCATATTTCTATTTTAATATATGATGATGTTTAGTATATTTTGAAGGGATGCAGTTAAGATTTACCTCCTGTAAAATTATGTCCGGCCAAAGACACACAGCAGTCTGTAGAGGGAACATTGATTAGTGTAAAAGCATTGATCTCTATTAGCCTCATGTATCATGTTCCTAGTTTTGTGTCTTCTGTAGCATATCACCAGATAAAAAATGTAGCATGTCCACACTCTCTAAAACAATAAACAATATAAGGCGCCGCCAAATAAGTGTATCACTTTAATTAAAAACAAGTAAAGGAAAGGGTTAAAATACACACATAAGAATGAGAGTAAATGGGCATATCTCATCAGTCCTTATTCGCTGCAAGCCTCGGTGAACAGTGGATGGATGGATGAGATGTATCCTTAAAACAGCTCTGCAGGATACAATTAATAAAGCTGGACTCTGTCAGAATGCAGATTAAGTCCGTATGACAGGCTGGGGTTTATTTACTAAACCTGGTTGACTCAGAATCTTGGGCACCGCTGTGCATGGTAGCCAATCAGCTTCTAACCTTAGCACGTTTCAGTTAAGCTTCAGCAATAAAACCTGGAAGCTGATTGGTTTTTATGCAGAAGTGGACAAGAGTCTGAGTCAACCAGGTTTAGTAAATAAACCCCGCTGTGTCTTCCTCCAGCAGCAAATATAGCCACACTGGAGTGCAAGCCAGCACTAGGACCGGAATCAGAAGTAACTCGGGACTATTGACATCAAAGCATGATGGGTGGTAACATGTTTCCTAGCCCACAATCGTTCCTTTGTCAAACCAGATCTTGTTAGAAGAGCTGCAGCCATTATAGAAGTGGATTAACACACCTGGATTTACCATACAGAGACTGTGGCTTCTTACTTGGGACCTAATCACTCTTTCTCCATTTGTGTTATAGAGTTTTTTATGTTTTTGTCCACACTCTCTAACCTTCATTTCCCTCTATAAGGCCTGCAGGTTCTGGCAGTCCTCTCAATCATTACCTAGCGTATATTGAGCATTATGCATGGCTTCATGGTGATGTCAGCAGCCCCAATATAAGGCCCCCTTTAGCTCAGAAGTTAACAACCATTTGGCTGTCCAAGTCACTCAAGGCTGTCAATATCACTCAAA